CCAATAACATTTAGCTATTTCTTTGATTGAGTATTTCTTTACTGATATCCATAATTTTAAATCTAAATAGCAGGATAAACATTCGTCACTTGGGGAATATAAGTTATCGCTACACCAATATTGGGTACTCAGGCCTTTGTAATCACGGAAGTATCCTTTGCCTTTGTTTTTTTATTAAACTTTCCGCTAATATGTTCTATATGGTACTATGAACTTATTGAAGTTCCGTACTTAATTCCTTCTGTAGTAAATTCTAGGTTATCATAGGGTTTGATATACCTTACACTATAGATAGGTAGGTCATACTTTAACGTTTTCGTTATTTGATCTTCATTATAATTCTTGTTTCTATGTAATTCATCACTCCTTTTCATTAGGTATACTAATTCTTGTATATCTTCTTCTTGATTGGGTATTCATGACAGAGTATTAGCATTGTTATGCTTTCGGCCTGATCTATGGATTATTGTAAAATTATATAGTTCTAACCTTAAGATCTAACAGGCATGTTTACCTTTTAATTCTGAAGTTCTCAGCTATTGTAATGCAGAATGGTCTGTTATCAAAAAGAATAGTTTAGATCCTATATACTGCTAGAAATATTTGACAGCTCATATCATAGCTAGGTACTCTAATTCTGAAATCGAATAATTCTTTTCAGCCTTGTTTACACTTTGACTAGCGTAGGCAACAATATATTCTTTGTTGTTATCATTCAATTGTATAAGTACAGCACCTAATCCTGATGTAGATGCATCTGTGTATAGGTAGAAAGGTTTATCAAAGTCAGGATATTGTAGAATTGGAGCTGTAATTAGATATTTTTTTAAACTTTGAAAAGCTTTGTCTTGATTTTTGGTTCATTTATACAGTTCATCTTTCTTAAGCAACTAGTTTAATAGTTTAGTGACCTTTAAAAATTCTTTTATGAATTTTCTATAATATGATACAAGTCCTAGGAATGACCGAATTTGTCTGATAGTTGTAGGTATAGGGAAGTTTTTAATTTTCTTTATTTTATCTTTGTCAGGTTGTATTCCATTATCACTAATAATATAACCTAAAAATTTTATCTTTTTAAGGAAAAACGAACATTTTTCCAAATTCAATTTTAGGTTTGCTTCTGAAATCTTTCTCAGAACTTGGTGTACATGATTCAAATATTCGTTAAAGGTCCTAGAATATATCATTATATCATCAAGATATATGACTACAAACTTGTTAATGAATGAATCAAAGATATAATTCATTAGGTGTTAGAAAGTTGATGGGGTATTACATAGTCCGAAAAGCATTATGTTAAATTCGTAAGTACTGAATTTTGTAATAAAGGCAGTCTTTTTCTTATCCTCTTCTTTGACTGCAACTTGCTAGTAACTACTCGCAAGGTCAAGGCTTATGAACTAGTTTGCTCCTTCAAACTTGGACAGAATTTTGTTGATATTTGGTAATAGGTATATATCTTTCTCAGTTACTGAATTTAGCTTATGATAATCTATACAGATTCGCTTTTTACTATTCTTTTTTGAAACTAGGACTACAGGTGACATCCAGGAACTTTTGGTTTCTTGTATGATGCCTTGTTCTTCCATTGCAAAAATTTCTGTTCTGAGAAATTCTTGATCGTCATAGGCTATACTATAGGGATGCTGTTTAATAGGTTTGGCATCTTTTGTATCAATTTTGTGATATATTAGGTTAGTATATCCTAACCCTATGGTTTGTCCACTTTTACTAATTTTTTGTGCAAATGTTCAAGTATATTTTATTAATAGGTCTTCTGCTCGATATTGTTATTTAGAGATTAATTCTTGGTTAATGTTGAATTGGATCTTAACTTTCTCATGGGTTATTAGTAATTCAGTTAAGTATACTGCTAGATTTTCATCTGATCATAGGTTATAAAATAATTTGACCTCTCCTAAAGAATATTCATCTGTATAGAATGCTTCTTAGATTTCTTAATCGTCATTTTCTAATTCATCTATCCATTCTTTTTCGTCAGTAAATTCTTCTAATTCTTGAATTTTACTTTTATTGCTTATATGAGTCACATTAGCCGTAACTTGCTTTTCTAGATATTATACTTGTAGGGTATTATTATTAAAATTCAGTTTGGCCCTGGATTTACTAAACCAATCAGTTCCTAACAGTAAGGTTTCTTCTTGGGAATCGATAACCTGTAGGTCGATAGGTATAACTATATCTTGCAATATTATCTTTATATTGCTAATCAATCTAACAGCTTTAGTTCAGTCATCATTTGCTATTATAACTACTGTTTTTGAAGGTCCATCTATGTTTAAACCTAGTCATTGCATTAGTTTTCTTGTAATAATGCTAACAGCAGCTCTAGAGTCTAGGATGGCTACTACTAGATTGCTTCTAATATGAATATGACAATGCATAGCAATCGTCTTATGACTTTTATTTGCCTTTATATGATTAGCTTCTATATTGGAGGCTTTCTTACACCTTAAAGCCTTGGCCAAGTTACATCATTGATTAGGATATTGCAAAAGTTAGCCATATATAGCATGAGCTAGGATATTTAACAAGTCTTCTGATATATTATATGCTTGGAGTTTATCAACTATAGATGGTAAGTATTTCTTAACAATCTTTTTTGGTAGAATAATGAGTTCAGGGTCTTGTTCTAACTCCATATTGTCTTCCTGTTCTTCTTGGATTTGTACTTTAAGAGTTTTGCTTTATAATGCATGTTCTTTACGGGATTCTATTTGCTTTTGTTTTTCTTTCTGTTTTTCCTTATATTCCTTTCTATTTTTATTGTATGGTTGAGATCTTATTTCATATAGTTCTTCTTCACTAACATCATCTTCATTTTCTATATCAATTAGGTTTATATTATGATTTTGTTCTTTGTTCTTGTTATCAGGGCACTTCATGATCTGATATTTTGGGTTCTCATCTTGTGGTCTTTTGAATAAGCAATCAAAGGCATAATATCCTAGTTCACTACACCTATAATAGCTACCATTTCATGGTAGATATCTATCTCTTTGATAGGTAAGTATTTTGTTAGGGTTTTTCTCAGTTTGTGCTATTAATGCGGATGCTATAGCAGTATAGTTTAGGTTCATTTGTTGCATTTGTTTAGTAAGTTGTTCTATTTCCTTCTCATAATTCTGAGAACTAGTAGATTGTACAGGGTTAGTATCAGTAGCAAAATCAATTCCTTGTTTATGAGTTTGGGCTAAATTAAGGATGCTAGCGAGGTCAGTGGGGTTATGCATTAAAATAATTGAGAGCATATTAGGTCTTAACCTCTTTTTGAAATAATATAATTTTTGGGCATCCTGTAAATTGCCTCCTGTTTTCACTCATTTGACTAATCTCTTAAATTTGCTATAATAGGTATTAGCAGACTTATCGGTTCGTTATTTAAGGCTATCTAAATCTCTTAGCTATTTATTTTTCTATCATTATGTACAAAATTGGTTTCTAAATACAGCGATAGTAGCAGTTTAATCATTAACATAATTATTGGTAGCAGCATTAGCTATAAAGTACGTTTGTTGCCATTTGTCAGCATTATCCTGTAGAAAAGCAGGGAGGATTTCTCGCTTTCTTTTTGTACTCTAGTTATTCACAGCTGCAGCTTTTTCAAAACTTTCTATCCAAGTTAATGAATCTTGAGTTCCGTCTCCTGTGAATGGCTCTATCCGTAGTAAGGTGTTTTCTTTTTGATTATTCTTTAAATAATCTAAAATATCTTATGCATTGGCCATATTTGGGTTGGAGTTAATGGGTATAGTTGGGGTATTTGGGATAAATTATTTAGATTGTGATCTGAGTCAGAATCTGAGTTTGATAATTCTTCTAAGTTTACAATAGACATAGTCTCACTATGATTATATAATGTGGTATATAGGTCTAATTGGAAATAGTTAGTTAAAATATATGCTTGTCTAAGTCGATGAATTATTGTCTCAAAATCGACTTCAGATTCATATCTAAATGTGAGGATTATAGCTTGAAAGTATTCATCTGAAGGGTTTAAACTTTGAGTTATCCTTCTGAATAGTTCTACGGTAACTGCGGTGTAGCTACTAACAGGATATTCTATAGTAAACCAATCCCAAAAAGTGTTAAACTAGTCTGATAGTTGTCTTCTTATTGGAAAACAAATAATATATAAATAATCAGAAAGGTTTCATATTA